TATAAATTTCATTGTGACCATATTCTTGGTACTAGTGTATTTGTTGCAACTCTTGCCTGCACTTTCATTACAGTCCGTACTGGTGGTCTTAAAATTCAGGTGTTTTGGGTGTGACTATTCAGTACCAGTCCTTTTTTCAGCCATTTTCAATCACCTGTCTCTCAGGGACATGCATTTTAATAATATTGGTGCACAGTAGCCCTGGGCACATCTGTTCTTTCCATTCTCTTCTAGGGTGGTTTGGGGAAAGGAGGAAATTATCTGTGTTGTCTTCTTTAAACTGATACAGTAAAACATAAAACCCAATACCATCTCCATGTCTAGAAATAAATCTTGTACATGTCCAGTCCAATTTGTGCAGAATTAAAGCAGTTTAACAAAGGGAATGGATGACTTGACCTTTGTGCCCAAGAAAAAATGGAAAGCTATAATCCTTTTTCAATGGCTGTTAAAATGAACTATTCTCCTCCTTCCATTAGTGCCCTGGTCCTAATCTTCTTGCAAAATATATGCATTCAGCAGCAGCCCAGGAGAAGGAGGCTCTGTGGAAGGACAGCTCGGTGTGATCAGAGCCTTTTTACCCAAACCCCCATAGATCAGATCAGTTTGCTGTGGCAGAAATACAGAACAAAAACTTGGGAGAATAATTGCAACACACAAATATGAAAGAGATATAACAATTGTTCCCACTTTTTTGATTAAACTCTTTAACATGTGAGGATTCTGTTCTTCCATGTGCCTGTTAGGAGGCAGAGGTGTGTGAGATGGGAGACCAGTGCTTGGGCTTGAACCTTCTCCAGTGCTGATGGGGGGTGGTGGGGACAGAAAGGAGAGCACTTTGGGCAGGAGAAGCAGCTCAGGAAGCCCCTGTTCCTCAGTGGTGTAACCAGCTATGGCACCATGCAGCTCGTGGTGAGTAGCTGAGGACCCAGTTGAGAAACTATGTCTGGACCTGGGAGAGATCCTGCCATCTGCTCCAGGCACTGAGTACCAGCTCCACAGGCTGCTTTCTCTGAGTTTAGGGAAACAAATAGGGGCAGTAAGGCAAAATGGGCCATGCAAAAGCAAAATGTTGTGGGTAGCAAGCAAAAACCAGGGAAAGCAGCTGAGAGAGGAGATCATGCAGATATATTCCTGTTCAGCACTTGCATTACTGAGTCCTTCCAGCCTGTGCCTGCATGGGGTTTGTCATCATATTTTTTTAAGAGCGGCTTCTTGTGCAATCAACATCTGTTTCTTGAGGAGGTGGAGAAGGATCTGAAACTGCAGTGGCCATGCAAAAACGTGACCTAATGCTGAAGCATGGGATTTGTCAAACTGAGTTTGCTTTCTCTGTGGCTCTGGGGGCATTTGGAGAGTTTGTGGGAGAGTTTGTGGGAGGATTATGCCCTGCTCACAAGATCAATGGGAGCAGATGGTGCCCAGGAGCAGTGCTGGGATGGATGGGTATCCTCAGGCAGGGATGATGTGTGAAAGATTGGGGAAAGCTGTTGTAGGTTTTTATCACAGAATTGTCCAAAATCTCTTCTCTTCTCCAATGCACTGGCAGCTGAGCTTCAAAGGCATGTTTTTTTTCTTTTGTCAGATGTAAGCTAGGAATTTATAGACAAATGGAAGAGTTTTAGTTACTCTAAGTGGATTAAATTATTTTGTATATATGCCCATAAGCTCTGACCCTCATGTTCCAAATGTTTGATTTTATTAAGAACTTTGCTTTTTGTCTAGATATAGCTGCATTTATTAATTTTATTTTTGTTTTTAAAGCTGTCTGGCTCTGAATTTACTTTTGAATCCACAAAATAGAAACCTGAGAGCTGGAAGTGTATTTTTTAAAAGCTTGATAGACTAAGTGCTAAACTCAGTAAAGGTTTAGCAAAGTCTAAATATAATCACTGTAATTGGCAGGAAAACCTGACCTAAATGATTTAATGCCTGTGATGCACACAAAGAAAATGGATTTCCACTGTTCAAGGCACTAAGAGATGACCTTTAGAGGAGATCTCTGTGTGGACTCATTAAATAAACTAAGTTCCTGTCCCAGGTTTGCAGCCTCAGAAGGTTCTGATAGTGCCAAGGCTGCTCAGAGAACCCAGAGCCTGGAGGAGATCTCATCCTGAGAAAGTGCTTGCCAGTCAGTGCAAGTGGTTGTGAGGTTAAGAAATCTGGGATGAACTGTGGCTGCAGGGATGCTCCACTGTGGGAAGCTCTTCATGCTTAGCTGAATAAAACAGATGCTTGAAATCTTGCTCATTAGCCAGAAATTCCTCTCAGAAGAAAATAGATCCAGACAGTGTGGTGCAGAGATTCGGGAGAGAACACCTGGTGCTTTTGGGCAAGGAAAACCAAACTGACCCAGTGCTTCCCAGGGGCATCAGTGAGAACAGACAAGAGACCTGTGCCTGGGAAGTGTTGGAGTCACTTCAGAAGAGACTTGTGGCATCGTGACTTGGTGTTGCAAAGTCACAGTTCCTGGGCAAGGGATTTGCAGATGCTGGATGTCACACTGCAATAGTTTTCTGCCAGCACGTGCTGGGGTTAGGGTTGAAGTTAAAGCAACAAAGTTGTGTGTCCTTGAACATGGTCTGCCATGTTGGTGTCATGCTTTCATTTACTGTTTGCCACAGCATTGGCATCTTTTCCTTTGCTGGTGTCCCTCCTTATTGCCTTTAAGCAGTAGTTTATAAAACCTCTTTTTTTCTGGTGAGCTGGAGGCAGCCCTCTGCTACTCCTTTCTTTCATCTTTTTGTGCATGCCCGGCCAAGAGCAGCTGCTAAACAACCAAATGCTGAAGCCAAGTGCTCAAAGCAGCCCTTGGCACATGTAGAAGGTGTTGAGCCTTGTCACAGGGGGGGCAGCTCCAGCAGCAAGGTGGGAAGCAACACAAGGAGCTTCCCCGGTGCTGCTGGATAATGCCGATGGCCTCTGTGGGAAACTTGTTTCTGGATGGAGCTTCTGCACGTCGCACAACAGACTGCAAATGGTAATGACGTGTGCACTCCCAGTGTGGCTTAGTCAGGCCGTTGGCACAGGATGCGGAGTTTTTTATGGGAAATGGGTAGATTTGTGCCACTTTGCATCAAGTGTCATGAGGTTAGTGGGCTTGCATTTTTGCTTCTGGTGTTTGACGTACTGTGGTTGGGTCCTGACTTGTTCAGAGCCAGGACGAGGCTCTTTTCTACCACCTCCTGACTTATGCTTCTTACCTTTTCTTTCTCTCACTTCTCCTTCCTGCCTGTGGTGATTTCTGCTCCCCTGGATGTCATCAGTCAAGGTGCAGAAGAGTGACCACCACCACTGCTGGGACCCCTGTGTCAACTACTGTCACACTCACCACCCTGGACACTGCAAGACACCCACTTGGAACCAGACATCTGGACAGGATTACTGCAAATGTAACCTCCCCACATGGTGTTGTCCCAGTCCTGCATGTGTACATTCATTTTGTGCCCCTCCATTTCTGCAATACCCAGCTCTGTAGCCTGACTTGTCACTTGTTCCCTCCTCGGTCACTGGGTCCATTTCTGTGGGTCCAGTGCTGAGTACAAAATCAGTATCTGCAGCCCAGCACACACTGATCTGGTAACTGGAACAAGAGCAGTGTGTTTGGCAGACTCATGTGGCCATCCTTTAACCCCATGCTCAAGTGCCTGGTTTCATATGGCAAAAATGAGTCTCTGTGAGGCAGGGAGGGCATCTCTGGTGGTGTGTAATATTGTGGTATGGCAACCAGCTCAGCCCTGGTGCCACACACTTGTTGGCAGCAGGATTGTGGCAACCTCAAAATCTGCAAACCCATCTCTAGCAGGAAGCAGGCTCTGTGCAGCCCCAGATTTCTTGTCTTAAAAAAGTAAGATGGGAAAGAGGAGACATTGCATTGTGTCCAAACTGTGAAGCAAACACCTGGTCTTGAGTCCTGAAGCTGGAAAGAAGGAGCTAGTCTGAACCCATTAGGTGTTTGATGACACTGTTAGGTGAACCCACTGCTGCACTTCCCTGTGCACATCCCTAACATGCTCTGTTTTTCCCCAGCTCTGGTGGCTGCCAACTTCTCGTCTCCCACCATGAATGCGCAGGGCTTCCCTTGCCAGAACTCGAACACGCTACCTCGCAGCTCCCACCCCATGAGCCCCCGCACCACCATGCTGAGGAGGAGGCAAAAGAAGAAGGAGCACAAGAGCTCATGTAAGAGTGGCATTGGGCTGGGGCTGGGTTGGATGGGGTGTGCATGCTGTCCTTGCTGTCCTTGTCAGCTGTTAGCTGGGGTAGAACTGCTTGTCTCAGCACTGTCAGTGCCCCCCTCATCCTTGGTCACTGTCCCCACCACCGCCAGACCAAGGTTTGCGACCCAGTCTCTTATGTTGACTGTGGCTGCCCTGATCTTCTGTCTCTCTCCTCCTCTTAGTGTCACTGGCCTCCAGCACGGTGGGTCCTGGCGGGCAGATAGTCCACACAGAGACAACAGAGGTGATGCTCAGGGGAGACCCTTTGAATGGCTTCGGACTTCAGCTCCAGGGAGGCATCTTTGCTACTGAAACTCTGTCTTCCCCACCTCTCGTCCGCTTTATTGAGCCTGACAGCCCGGCAGAGAGGTTAGAGACCTTGCCCTTGGATGCTGATGGTGCTGCTGCTGAACATTTCATGGTTTGGTTTGTTTTCTCTCCTCAGAGGCTCATTTAGATATTTACTATCATCCTTGTAATATCTCCCATTCTTCACTGGGCATGGTTTACTGTCACTGCCATTTCTGCACTCGTCGGCTGACCGTGGCCTCCCTCGCATCCCAGGTGAACGTCTTGGCACCAGGCTGCGGCTGGTCTGGGAGGAGGAGGAAGGGAGTGTGTGTCTGTGTGAGAGTGCCATTCCCATTACTTTTTTTTTTTTTTTTTAATTTCTCTTTGAAAGATAAATCTTTTAGATTGGTGCAGAAAGAGGAAAAGTCTGAATAAGAGTCCCCTGCGAAACATTTTCTGTCTTTGACTGGTTTCATTGTAGTAGAGCCCAGCTATATAAACTGGCCTTAAAGCCAAGGCTTTGAACTGTAGAGAGGGTGCTCTGGTTGAGGAGCAGGTAGGTGCTGCAGTAAGCACTCTTGCTTTTGGCTCTCTAATGCTGGGAAAAGAGCAGAAGGGAGGAGCAGCATTAGCTGCTGTGTGTCACCCATGAGGATACTGGGGAGCAGTGACTCTTCGAGTTGCAGAGCCTCAGCCCCAGAGTTCTAGCAGCTCTGGCTAAAGTTCTCCCTTGCTGGCTGGATTTAGAGCCTGCTCGAGTGCCTGTGCACTACAATGTAGGTGTTTTCTAGCAAGGGTTTTATTACTAAGCAGATCAAGATGGCTTAAGCTCTTCTGCAGTGGAAAGGAGAGCTGGTTTCGTTAGGCAGATGAAATAGTGAGAGCTGAGTGAGCTGGCACTTAATGCCCTGGTGCTGGTTTCTCTTCCTACCTGTGATTTCCACTGTGGTCTGTCCTGCCTAGGAGTGCTGGAGGTGCAGTGACATGGCAGTGCTCAGCACCTGCAGCAGACCCCTCCTTGGAAGAAGAATTCTCTCATGGCCCCATCAGCATGTGCTGGTGGTTCAATGTCCTCAGGCCTGCCCAGAAAAACAGCATATGGGGGAGTTGTAGAGTTGTGTGGTAAGGAAAGTGTCTGCAAAAGGAAATGCAAGTCCTTGCTGTGCAGACCAGTCTCTGTGTTGTAGCTTCTCCAGGTGGCCAATGCAGAGGCAAGGTGGAGCATGAGTGCCTGGTGCTTGTGTCTACAGGAGGACAGGGACAAGCATCTGGCTCAGGAAAAGGAGCTGTCCTGATGCAGGTTAAGAGAGATTTCTAAGCCTGATATGGCTTTTGTTTATTTGTTTGTTTCCAAACAGGGTTCAAAAGTAAAGGTGATGGTGGTTTGCCTGTTTTTTTTTTTTTTAATCCTTGATTGCCAGGGAGAGTTTGGCTCACATTGCAAAGTACCAAACTCCTTTTATAAGTCAGACAGGAACAAAACCTGCTGTCCTGGGGGATGAAGGAGTTGTGCTGAAATACTCCTGGCTTTGCTTTATCCTCTTGCCAAGCCTGGAGTGAAAGCACAGACTGGCGGTGCAGTCCTGCTTGGCTCCAGCATGTCACACAGGCTGCCCACCCAGCAGCATTCATGCTCTCCTGTCCGCCGCTTTCTGGTGACCGGGAGCAATCCTCTCTGCATTTGCAGCCTGGATTTGATTTGGGGATTAAATCTCTGCTGTATATTTTGTTCTTTCCTAAACCATACTACTCCTTCTCATTGGCAGGAAAACACTGTCTTTCCTCCCCATCTTGAAGTGATAAGTACACTGGATTTGCAGTGAAGAGAAAAAGGCAGTTTTATGTTTTCATTTCACTTTTTGTGTCTTGGTATTCCACAGAGCTCTTTGCTCCATCATTCAGGATACCTTATTCCCTGTTCCTGAGAGGTTCTGCTGCAGCTGCAGCACAAGACATTAGAGCTATTTTCCTCCCTTTTGCCAAGCTTGGCTCCTGGCTGAGGCTGGGCTGTGCTCTTTCTTGTGCTGCAGTTGTTGCTCTTTGCCAAAAAGGTGAGCTGTGGGGATACAGGGATCAGGCTTAGCAGCCTGGGTCTGACCTAGCTGTTCACAGTCTGCAAAACCTGTGGATCTGAATGTGCTGTTGTACAAAGGTGTGACCCACACTCGCTTTGTCCATCTGGCTTGCCGTGGAGGAGCTGCCTCTGGGGTGTCCAGCAAGTGTGAGTACTACCAGAGAGGATCATGGCATCATCCTCTTTTCAGGGAGGTTGGGCTGCCCTCACATTTGTTGTCTGCTTTGTGTTAGCTTGTGGCAGGCGATTTGAAGCAAAAGCTCTCACCCACCTGACTTGTGATTTGTTTTCCTGCAAATAGCTTCTAATAGACCTTCCTCCCCACCTGTTGTTTTGTTTTCTGGGTGCAAGATGAAGCCTTTGGATTCCAAGTGAGACAGTGATTCAGCCCCTGTTATCAGCAAGGAAGGTAGAAGGGGAAGAAGCCTGACAATCCCTCTTGGCTGCCTTGAAGCACACAGCTTTTGTGTCCTTCCTCCCCCAGCTGTCATTGGCAACAGAGGGAGAGTATCCGACTTCTCCATCCTAGTATCCAAAATCAATGCTTCCTGCTGAGTTACATGTTTTCTAGCTCTGCTCAGACACAGTTGTTTGATCATTGTGTTTCTGGCTTTTGAGTATGAGTAGTTTGCAAAAGCAAAGTTTAGCAGCTGGCTGAAGCTGTCAGCAAAGCTTTGATCCAGTGGGGGTGGAGATCCACTCACCAGTGTGCAGACACAGATGTGGATACACACACAGATGTGCACATCTGACCTGTGCAGGCCAACTCGGGGCATTGTAAGGGCACGATGGATCGGTTTCTGCAGCCGGCACTGTGGCCACGGTCACAGCTGCTCCCTCACAGCTGGAGTGATCACGCAGAATCTGATGATGCTGAGTGAGCTCTTCAGTGCATATCCTGCCCAAGGCTTGAATATGTGCTCCTCTGTATCTAGTGAGACACCTCCGCTGCTCTGTTGCTGTCTTTAAGCCTAAGAAATGAGTCATGGCAAATGCAAATCTCTGCAACTCCAGGGGGACATTCCCATCATGGACTCCAACACGTCCATAGGGCTGCCTTTCACTTCAGGAGATGCCTGTAGTCTTGTTCTTTCTGATTTTAAAACACTTCTACTCCCATAATCTCAAAGCGCTTTGTAAGCTCTGATGTCAGACTGAGCACCTCTGAGACAGATGCCTTCTCTTTGGGAAAATTGTCTGAAGATTCTTGTAGAGCTAAGGAGAGCTCTGCACGACCCTTGGTTCCCCAGGCTCTGCTCCCAATGCAAGGGCACATGACAGCTGGAAACCTGTTTCTCCAGTATGATTCTGAAGGGTTAATAAGGCACGCCAGGCCTCCTTGCACTTGTAGAAGAAGCCAGAAGGTTGTGGCTTCACTCCACAAACTTTTATAAACCTGCAAGACCAGGGCTTAATCAGCTGTGATTGACTGAGACTAATAGTAAAAGAAATAAAATGCTTCTGACCTAACAGAGCTGTTGGCTGTAAAACACCCAGGCAAACCTACCTTGAGTGAAGAAACACAAGAAACGGTTGTTTTGTGAGAAGGCAGCTCTGGTGGGAAAAGTGGCAAAGGTTTGCTTTTATGCAGTATAAAAGTATCCTGTGAGCTCCCAGCCCTTGTGGCTGAAAACAGTGGTGCCAAAATGGATTGTGTCCTTGTGTGACCTTGAGATGACAGTGATGTCCGAGTGATGCAGCTGTTGCTCCCTCCTTTGCAAAAGGTACATTTGGGCCATAGTGAGAGAGCTCTGGGTGGCAGAGGAGTCATCTCTGTTATACTCTGTGCCATCTTTATATTTATAAGCTGATATTTGTAAGTGCATCTATGTGGCTGCATAGCCACAGGTCCAGTAAAGGACTGTAATTAAACTTGATGTAATTTATTCACAAGGATGGATTCATTTATACATCATTGAGTTGTCTGTTCTAATCCGAGTCTCCTTCAACAAACAATTCTGAATTTACATCTCATAAAATAGCTGTCGTTTTTACATGGATGCCATGAACTCAGGCAGCAGCTTAAATATACTGCAAGTTTAATACCTTCCTACCAGTAAAATAACCTCCCTAGGCTCTCTCCAAACTTGTTCATATCTCAACTTTTGATGGACCACTGGCACAAACTGTTGTGCTTGTTCATTTTTCTTGAATTCAGGTGTACGTACTTTTTCTTGATAACCCAGCCTTTCATACACATCCTGTTGTTTGGAGGTGAATAATACAGTCAGTGTCCGTTGCCTTTGATGTTCTCTTTGTGTGCCTGGGAGCTGTGGTACTGTGTTTTCTTACAATTGAATTGGGTGTGAGTGATGAAGAGTGACTGGAAGGTTTAGTGAAAAACAAGCCGTCTTCTGTGAGGTATCAGTGGAAGGAAGGAGAAGGCAAAGAATGTGTTTGATCACTATACAGGAGGGGAATAAAGGTTCTCTGGAGAAGGCTTAAAACAAGACGATTGATATCTTCTGGAAAACCTTTGTGGTAAAATAACTCCAGATGTTGAGGTGAACCTTAGACTTGATGCCATAAACCTCAACCTATTTTGGAGACCACTCTGTAGTTTCCATTAATGGTGGATTTGGTTTCCCAAGCTCTGCTCAAGTGAACAGCCTTATAGACAGGTGATGAGTGGAAAGTCTGAAAAGATGTAGTTGTAGCAAACAACTGATAGAGGAGAAGGAAGATGAGAAGATGAGCAATTTCCCATGGCCAGTCACAGGGAACATGGCAGTCTTGATTTTGCAGAGCCACAGGCCAGCTCAGGGGAGCTCTGGGAGATAACTTGTAGGATCATTGTGCTGGTGTTGCAGTATATTTTAAAAAAAAAAGAGGAGTGTGTATGGATAGTGAACGTAGGAATGTAGTGGTTCATGTGTGAAAAAACCATTACTTATAAAGATGGGTCCGGAGAGACAAACGGTGCTGTAGCAGTACATCTCTAACATAGCCTTGCCATCACCTTCTTCTTCCAAAGTAAAAAACCTGCTGATCTCTGTTTCTGGAGAAAATGGGTCTAAACCAAAAGCCTCAAAGGATTGGTTGTGCTTATATTGTCAGACCATCGCATTGGAATAATATTGGCCTTTCGAGGCAGTTAAACAGTATCAATGTACATTTGGCTTCCAGAAATGCAATTAGAAGGGATAAATGCTTATCCAATTCACTGAGACATTTTGGTGAGTTTATTGGATTGTAGCTTCAGTATTCACCATGTATTAGGCAGAGGAATCTGTACAATTTTCAGTGCTGTTTGTGTTCCAGAGGGTGCAGGGGCATGGGAAGAGTCATGTACGGTTGGATAGGGAAGGAGAGCACATGCCTTTGCATTTATCACTCTCATCTCTCAGCCGTGGTGTTGACTTTTAGGAAGATGAGGGTTACTTCTTTTTCCCCCCGGATGTTGCAGGAAATGTGACCAGAAATGGTTATTTAGGACCAAAGCGTGTCTGAACTTCAGAAAACCACAAGGGTTTGCTTCCTTGTGCCCTTCCAGGGATGGTGGGATGGGCTTTGCAAAATGAGTTTTCTCTTTGGGACCACTTCTGCAGGATTTGTCACTACTTTGTGTGTCTCATAACAGATTGGCCTGGCAAAAGTAACTCATGGCTGGTTGTGGGGTTGTTTTTCTCCTCCTTTCCTCTTTTTCCTTGCCTCCTTGTTCCCATTCCCTCTTTTCCTGCTGTGAACTGCAGGTGTGGGCTGCTACAGGTAGGAGACAGAGTCCTTTCTATCAATGGCATCGCGACTGAGGACGGGACCATGGAGGAGGCCAACCAGCTCCTGCGCGACGCCGCGCTCACGAACAAAGTGGTGCTCGAGATCGAGTTCGACGTCGCAGGTATGTTGCCAAAGGAATTGCTGCTCATCACTACCAGCAGGACTCTTCCAGTGCCTTTGCTGACCTGTAGGAGGGACTGTATTCACACAAATACGTGAGGTTTCTGCTAGAGCTCAGAGGGAAGAGTGAGAAGCCCTGTGAGGACCTTTTTCATTTCTTCTTGTTCTCTAATGTGCACCAGGATGGAGGGGTTTTTTTCTGATCCTTTCATAAATGTTTTGTCCTCACCACTTGGCTGAGATAAGCCTAAGGAGCAGATGAAGAGGACACCTGCACTTCAAATATTGGCCCATTAATATGAATAATATTTATATTAATTTATGGCCTTGAAGCCAGAGGGGAGCCAAAGCTAATGGCTGGGGGTAAAGTGCAGCTTTGTATTAAAAAAAAAAAAGTTATAAAATTTTTTCCTTTTACGTTGACAGAGATGCTTCAGTCTCGAAATACATCATGATGTGAGCACTTCACTTGATGTTCAGAGCATGTATTTTTGATGAGAATCCAAATTTCAACCTTAAGTCCACAGGGCCTCAGATAACCTTATTTGAACCAACAGAGCAGAGCTTTGTGGGTGTGTTTTCTTGGTTCTGCAGAAGCCATCCATGCAACTGAAAACTCTCTTTTTTCTCCTTTTTTCTTTTCTTGTCTGTTTTTGGTTTTATAGAGTCTGTCATACCCAGCAGCGGTACTTTCCACGTTAAATTGCCCAAGAAAAGAGGTGTAGAGCTTGGAATTACAATCAGCTGTAAGTATTGCTCAGTCTTGCACTAGCAGCTGCAAGAGCTGCTGCTTTCCACCCTGGTACATCAGAGGGCCCCAATGGAGAGAGAGAAGATTATGTGGGGTTTCCATAGCCCTCTCAGTGCTCGTGGTTTATCCCAAACTGAATCAGATGTGTGGTTCCTGCCTCCATGAGCTGGTGGCTGCAGAGAAAAGTAGCTGCCTAAAGGGTTGGGGCAAAGGATGTTTTTCAATGGATCAACTGATCTGTGTTGCAGACTAATACTATATTATTAGTAATATTATTTTTATTTCCTTGCTCACAGTTGTATTACATTCTTGTAAAAAAAGAATTGCCTAGATATGGTGGGACCTTTACAGGGAGAGGTGGAGGAGGAGAGCAAGTGAGAGGTGAACCCACAGCTTGAAGGGTGGAGAGGGGAAACTGCCAAGAGGAGGGGGAGAAGGAGCATGAACAGGATGATGTGTCTTACAGGGGGGAGGAGGGCACTTTAAGGACAGGAGGGTGCTGGGCAGCGTTTGCCAGGAATTGTTGCACTGAGTAACTCCAGCCACAGAGGAAGGAGATCTGTGTGCCAGGATTTGGTGTACACTGAGAGAACGTGACAAACATTTTTCTTTCTTTTCTCTCTTCTCACTCTTTGTTTCTCCTCTGAGTTTTTCATTTAAAGACATTTTGGCCTCTTTGGAGAGGATGCTGTAGAGGGATGATATAGGCATATCCATCCCAAATTTCTAGCCATCTTGGGGTCTTATTATGCCTGGAATCAGTGAATTTTTGCTTCATGGCAAATCCAAGCAGGTCTCAAGTCTTTCATCCCTCTTTCATTGTTCAGGGTAAACAAAGTTGAATAATCTCAAATTTGCCATGACCAGGACTGCCACCACCTCTCATCTGAAACAGAGCAGCTTGTGAGACTGCAGTAATGGGATCTCGTGTCTAAGCCCTCAGGAGCATGGACCCAGCTGTGTCTGGAGAATGGAGTCACAAGGGACACTTTAAAACTAGATTTCATTAAAATAGATAAACTATTTGTAATTACCTCTTGACATTTACAGTATTAGTTAGCAAGTTAATTGGAGGTGTTCTGGTCTAAGTGGGACGATTCTCAGGAGTGACTTGAACGTCAACAAGATGATGGCTTTGCAGCCTGTAATATTTCTTCTCCCTCTTCTCTGCTTCCCGTATTTGTACCGTGAGGACAGTCCTGAGAAATAACAGCACAGTATTTAACATTTGGCTTGGTAGCAATTACTGTCTGAAGACATCAAAGTGCTTTCTGAAGGCAGCAGGGTGTCCATAGTGGCATTTCACTGGCGGGGGAGCAGGGAACAGTGCAGCCTGTGCTGGGTTCCAACCTGCTGCCCTGCCCACTGCCTTGGCATTCCAATCTCGGGTAGCAACCTAGGACAATGGATCTGGTAGCAAAAAACTTCTGGCTTGTGCAAGGCCAGGATTTTACTCCTTTCAAGTGTCAAAGTTTAGTTTGTGTCTGGGGCTGGAGAGCTAAATTCACCTGGGAGTTGCTCGGAAGAATTAGATTTTATTTGTGAAGTCTCACTTTAATGGGATCTGCTTCAGATGTGCATTTACACTTCAAACATATTTTTATGTTGGAAAGGTTTTCATTTGAAATTTGTTTAAAATATTGATTTCACATATTTTTTTGAAATCACCACTAATAACAAGAAACTGACCCCTGGGTTTTAAATAGATGCTCATTATCCAACTACAAAGCAGTTTTTTGACACTATAAAAGATTTGATCTTTCTGATTGTTGAACATGTTTGCAGGACATTGTTCAAATAATGCATACACAGAAACTTAAAATACATTTCAGTCCTTTGCTGAGTCAAAGCCAAAATTGTATTTACAAATGGAGCAAAAGACAGGCACCCAGAAAATGCAGTGGCAAGAATGAAATGCTAGCTGAATCCTAATTCTGTTTTCATACATTAGTCTGTATAAGCCTATGTCCACATGACTCTTAGCAAATCAGATCATCATTTTGTCACTCTGCCTCTGACCAGGCAAATAAATATGCTGGTTTCAAATACTAGAACCAAAGCAAGCAGCCTTATGTTAAGTACCTCCTGCAGAGACGTGGGGTGCATGCAGGAGTGTGATGCAAGCAGCAAAAGAAAAGAGGTAAAAATAACTCTTCTCTGTTTTGCTCAGTTCCTTTCCTCTCAGTTCTGCTGATTTGAATGCTTGTATAGATCTAGAAACAGTTTTTACAGCTTTCCTTCTGGTATGGAAAAGTATATTACAACTGCTTTAAAGCAGGGGACTTGATTTACTGGCCTCTTACATTGGATTCCTGTTCCCTACTCGATAAAACTGGGGCAGCTGAGGTAGATGACAAGGTGGAGGGGTCAGTAAAAGACCTTCTGCACTGTTGTGGCCACAGAATTGGGTTTATTCATAACCTTTGTGGTCTGGTTGTGCTGCAGATGTAAGATGAGTTGCTTTCCTTGAGTTTTACCTCTGGGCTTCGGCTGGCTCATCTGTAGTTAATTCCTCTGCCTAGGAAGGTTTGCCTCTGCCTTCTTACACGGGCAGAAAGTGTTACGACCTCATCAGAGGAGCACTACAGAAATAAATGTGATCAAGTTCTTGCTGTGCTGTGGCTCTCAGAGCTAATTCGGAGATGGACTAAGTAAAGGGGGAGAGAGCAGGATTCGTGATGGATGTGTTGGAAGAATTCATGTAATGGAGCTGACTGCAGGAGAAACCATAAATCTGCTGGAAATGCTCATAAAAGGGCTGAAAACCCAGGAGGTTTGTGTATGAGGAGGGCAGACTGCTGGTTCTGGGATGAATATACAAAGAGGGGCTGCGCTTGCTCCTGGTAGGGGCAGATGTTTGCTGAGGGCATTTAATCTTCTCAGAGGTCTCAGGGTTTTCCAGAAAGAGAAGGCTCGGGCTGGGTGAGTCCCCAGTTGTGGTCTGTGAGCATGAATGGTTTTCTTCCTCCTGCTCACAGTGTGGCAAAGGAATGCAGCAAGTCAAGGTGCGCGATGGAAATACATACAAATAGCACTGTTTCCCCTTCCATTCCCCAAAGAATGAATAGAAAATCCAAAGGGTGAGTCTCTCACTGACTGTGCTCTGTATTTCTGAGGGACCTCAGTGCCCTCAAGCCTCATCTCAGTCTCCTACATGTGCTAAATGAAAACACTGAAATTGCTCCATGTGTGCTGCTCCACGCGCTTCGTCCAGGGGTGAAGGGACACGAGGTCAGCTAAACTGCTCTCGTTTTCTCCAAACTCCAGTGTCTTGGCCTCTCTCCCAGGGAGAAGGGCAATTTTCTATAAAACAGCTGCTCTGACTGAAGAGCAAAGTGTGCTCCTTTTTGCTTTGAGAGCTGTGCAGACTCTGAAACTCACTTGTTTGCAGGGACCTCTGAGACTTGCAAAGATGTGCAAACTGAGAGTTTGACACAGGGATGTGAAGATTTGACTCTTGTTAGCCTGAACTACCATCTCCATTTGCAGAATGCATGCTTCAAATGCTCTCATCTTGCTGGCTGAATTTAGTTCTAATGATGCTGTTATGCCTTTGTGGGTTTTCTGTAAATTTCTTACAAATTAAAATCTCCAACAGCGAGAAGCTAATAGTCATGTATTCTTTTTCGTTCAATACCTAACCTCTTAAAATAAGATATGGATTTGTTATTAGCTGCTGGAAAATGATAGTTGATTGCTTTTTGTGTTGAGAGGGTATTTTTTTTTTCCTGTCTCAGATATCTTCTCCAAGGGCTAGTTGTGACATTCACCATAGGGTACAAGTGTGTTGATGTTGCTGTTTAAAGAGATACTGAAATTACTATTCGTTTTAGATATACATTAATGCTTTATATAGCATGTTTATCAAATTGCCTTTCTATATCTTAACAAATCAATTCCTGTGCCCTTGGTGTGAAGTACTGCAGATAAGGAGGAGGCAGTGTATCCGCTTGCAGGTGATAAAACCGGAATTTGGGTAGATAGATAACTTCGATTAAGTCGCTTAAGCAGTGTAATCACTGTCCTAGTGAGAAGATGGATTTGTGAGCTGAGCAAATCTAGTTTTGCTGGTGCTGGATTAGCCTGTGCCCTGCCACCAGCCTGGCAGAGCGTGTCTGCAAGAGGCAGCGAGCTCGGCACCTCCTGTCCTACCCCTCGCTCACACAGCAGCTTCAGCTGAGATTTGTGGCTGATTCACTCTGGTGCTTTTATCCAAGTGGGATATTCTGATCTGGTTTTGCCACCTGGAGATTGGGAAAGGAAGTAGATCTGTGATGGTGCAGATATCCTGCTGGAGGCACTGATAATTTATGCACCTGCTGCTAAACTTAATGAATGGTAGAGGAAAAAGTTTGGTACTGAGAATTTGATTTTCACTGCTGCTTTTTGTAATCAATTCTGATTTGGTTTTTTTCCTCTTTTCATTCCTTAGCTATCCTGAGATTATTTGGTTTCTGATTTTGTTTGTTATTTCCAATTTAAGAACGCTTTCTCATTTGAAAGCTTCTTACGGCAGTATTGCAATTTCTTTAATTACACACTGGCAGAGTGTTGCTTTGGCTTAGTCAGTAACGAAGGGCATTTATAACGGGTTGATGCCTGTGAAATATGTGCTCAAGCTCCTTGTAGGGAATAATTTACCAATACAAGTCATTATGCATTCTATTAAAAACACAAACTGGACATGTGTTCCTGGCCTCATCATCCATCACAGCGTAAACACCGAGCGAGCCAGAATCCCAGCAGAGGTGGCGAGAGACTGAAAGCAATTTATAAAAAGTAAATAACAGTATTGATCAATTCACCTTTTTATCACTGTCCTGTCACCACTGCCAAGCAGTGTTTTCGTTTTGAGTTTCTCCCCCAACACATGCTTCTACCTTCAACAGCTGTTGATTTATGGAGCTTTCTCTGGGCCACTGGAGCAGTTTTAAACTTATCTTTTGTACTGGTAAACCCACCAAAAATACAAATGTATCTGAAAAAGAGTCTGTTTCCACCTGAAGTGGTTTGCCCTGGCGAGTGGAGGCCACAACCAAAATGCCTGCTGAGAGCATGCATGGGTTTCTGCACATCAGCTCCTGCATTTGTGCCTCGATCCATCTCTTCCCTTGACTTTCTTTGCTGCCGTGTCCATTTCACATACTGGGAAGCAAGACCCAGAGGCAAGGTTGGGTGTCCAAACCATGTCTTCCTGCAGCAGGTTATTTGAAGGGAAATAACCACATTAACAGCAGAAATGAATGGATAAAGAGGCTTTACTCTTCTGTGCAAGTGTCTTAATGCCAAAGACCATAGCCCTAATAAAATTGTAATGTAGATTAAGTGGTGTTTTTTTAATTGCAGGCAAATTGAAAATGGTTTATCCAAAATCTCACCAAGGATCTGTGTATCTAATGGCTCTAGCCTGGACTGAGCCACCACTTCAGTGAAATTGCAGCTTTCTCACCTTTAGACAGAGGGACATTGTCACCTGTGTGAGTGGCCCAGGATGGTTAAAAATGTGGGTCCCAGGAGTGGTCAGGGCAGCCTGATCCCAGCAGATGGACAGAGAGCCCATCTGGGTTCTCTGCTGGAGCACCAGGAAGGGCTTGGGAGTGCTAAAGGTGAATTAATGGAGTTAATGGCTACTAATTTTTAGAATGAACAGGAAATGACTGGTTTGTGCTGTGAGATTTCATTATCTTAATTTTGTATCTTAAACCTTTTGAGAGAATGGTTATTCATTAAGTCTCTTTAACTTACCCTTCACTTTTGATGGTCTTTGCGTTTTACAGTAGGAGATTATGCAATGTGATGATGCCCCATGCCTGGAAGTGTTCAAGGACAGTTTTGATGGGGCTCTGAGTAACCTGGTCTAATGGAAGGTGTTCCTGCCCATGGCAGGGGGTTGGAACAAGATGATCTTTAAGGTCCCTTCTGACCCAAGCCATTTTATGGTGATTCTATGATGATTATTTAAAACAGAGGGCTGCCATTTATTAAAGTTTGGGTGCTCTGTTGGTAGGGACAGTTGTATGCAGTTGAACATGGCTCTTCCATTTAACTGATGTCTCAAGAAAATCGATTTTGAGAGCAAAACTTGAAAAAAAAACCACAAACAAAACCCAGGATGATTTCCCCTTAAAACTTACTTTGTTTCCTAATGGACAAAGTACTTTATTTGTTACCCATGCTTCTGATATGGGAAACTTTTGCTGTGTTCAGTGCTGACACCAGTTGTGGAACTGCAGAAGGACGAGGTCTCGTTCTCTGCTCAGAGACTGACTGTGGGCAGGATCCCTGCATTTGTCTCAAGGCTTGCAAGGCAGACGCTGAGGTAGACAATTTCTGCAGAGCTTGAGTCATGTTGTTGTCTATACTTGCTTGCTTTCTTTTTTTTTTTTAATTCTTTTTCTCCCTTTTTTTGAGTGTTCATGGTCTGGACATGTTGTTCCAGCTGTGGCTGTGCCAGGTTAGAGATGGCCATCCCCAGTCTTCCACCAGAACTGTGGAGATCCTCCCTAACCCCTTTCTGTCACACTGCCTCTGCTTTGAAATGAGTAAACAAACCTTGCAGGGAAAAGTATTTTTGCTAACCTGGATGGTTTTGACAGAACCAGGCTAGGGAGTGATTAAACATGCAGCAATGCCATCCTGACCCAGGTCTCAAGGTGTGCTCACAGGGCCTCCCCTCACCATTGCTCAGACCACTACATTGTACACCTCTGTCAGCAGCAAATACATTTCCTATACTGAAAAAGAGAAGAGCAATAGTTACTGCAACAGTAATTATCAGGGTGTCACATCTCTGTCTCCTGTGCTGTTAGTCCATGGTGTGTGGTCTTCCCAGTCAACACATGGATTTCTGCACCCCATCCTTCCTTCCCACTGTTCAGCTCTGCCCAGTGTGTGTGGTTCTATCTGCAGTCTGGTCCATGCTGTGGACAGGTTGAATACAGGCACAAGCCCTCAGTGAATCTCCACAACTCATTCCCTTCTTTTTGATCCACATCCGGAAGCTGAACATGAGTGTCCTGTCCAAAACTGTCTGGCACCACACTCCAGTAAGACATGAGGAAGACAATTCCTCCAGGCTCTGTACCATTCAGCAGTCGCATTGCTGGGACTATTATAAAATCAGTCACGACCTGCTCTTTGCTGTCTGACCTCACTTTGATACTCAGCCCTGCCACATCTAAGACTGGCTGTATTTTTACTCTGTTCAGTACAGAAGGTTTAGCTATTTCTGGGACAGGGTATCCTTAAAGGTGTTGGGTTAGCGCATATGTTTTCAAATCTCAAAAGTGAATGTAAACAACAGAAAAATCTAGAGCAGAGAGGATGGTAAGTACGTATTATGTCTGACTTTCTGGGTGCTCTCTAACTGCTGTTCAGGCAGGTGGATCCCCGTGTAGTTGGTGCCACGTACCTCACAGATATTTTAATCTCTGACCTGCACCTGATATGTTCAGATGCTGTGAGTTTCTTCCTTCCCACACAAATTTTGTGAGAAGCTGAGAAGCTCTGTCAGCTTTAAATGAGGCAATGCAATTCCCATAGCAAGGCAGGAGGGACTGATGCGGGGTGGAAAGGATGCTCTTGGCATATGTTTGGTGTGTGGATGACAAAGAGGTCAGGAGGGGTTCAAGTTATAAATCTCTCTTGGGTTTCTCGGGAGAGCAGCAGGTCTTGCAGGCAAATTTGAAAATGCAAATGCTCCCAGAGATGCGTACTCACATCTCTCGTGGGCTGAAAAAGTTATCAGGGTCGGGTAGGAGAGAAGAGTTGGAAACCACCCCCTCCAACTCCAGCACAGTCCAGCCCTGATTCATCCGGTTGTATGATAAAGTGGCTTGGGGAGCTGAACCAGCTGGAAAACAGTGCTTTCTCTAATTTTTACTGGTTTATTTTCAACCTGGAATGTCCCAGCCCACTTCAAGAACACAGAAATTCTTGTAATTAAGCACAAGGCTGTGCTGGATGCTCTCTAGGCAGCAGTGCTAATGTCTGCTGCCACAGCCACTGGCTCACTTGCCTTGTGTCCGAGGTGTAGGTGACTAACTGACAGTACTGGAATTGGGCAGTGCCACCTCTTGCTGCTGGACACCCCGTGTCCTCCCTTCAGGAGGAGTGCAAAGAAAACTAACATGGGCAAAGGGCAACCAAACAACTTTTGCAGGGATTTAATACTTTTTTTTTTTGGTGTGATTTCCAAAGTTTAAGTGTGAAGCATTGTTTTGTGAAGGGGATATAAATCCCCTCTCCTTACGTCTCCTTGTCCCCCTTAACCATCCTTGTCCTGGACAGCAGACTCAATGCCAAGCTTTGTGGCCATGTTTCTCTCTTGCAGCTGCAAGCAGAAAGCCTGGGGATCCTCTGATCATCTCTGACATCAAGAAGGGGAGCGTCGCACACAGGTGAGTGCAGAATTTCCCGTCTGTCAAACGCACTGCAAAATGTCCATCCATGATAGGTAGAATGTCTACCAGAGAAGTAGAATGAAGCCCAAGCAGTAGCACTTGGGTCTGGATTTTGCCAGCATCCAAGGAAATCTCAACCCTAGAGGTTTGTTTTAGACCACAATAGGGTTTGCAGTAAAACTGTCTGTACTGAAGCAAGTAGAGTTGAGCTAATAGAGAAGGTGGCCAGGGCACTGGTTCAGATGTCCGCTGATTCTCTAGGAGATGGATTTTTAGCTTTTAAGAGCATGTGGTAAAGGGCTTCATATATCCCATGAGGTGCTATGGCTCATCAGGTAGTTTGCCATGTCTCAGCTCCTGCTTGGGTGAACAGAGTGAGTGAATTATGGGCACTGGTGGAGAACTGTGCAAATAACTCAGCATTTATTGACTTCACCTCTGATCCCAACACCTCATAGCAAGGCTTTCAGGGGGATTTAGTGCAGTGCAGGGCTCATTTCTGAGTGCTCACACAGGAGTTTCCATAAGAGGTAGAATATCTGTCAGTTAAACAACAGGCATTTTCAGTGCTGTAGGTTACCCAGGATGTATATCTAATCTTCCTGCCTGGTTCTGTGTTGATACATGGTCTACACAAACTTCCTCTCTTTAAATTACAGTTGTCCCAGACTCAGTTCATGGTTGTTTCCCAGAAAAGATCAAGGACAGTAAAAAGTTAATATTGTAATTTCCACTGCAGAACTGAATGTGTCGTGGGATCTGAAAGGCAAATACAAATGTACTTTTAGTTTTCTTTTCTTCTCCATGTAGAACTGGCACCTTGGAGCCGGGAGACAAGCTGTTAGCCATTGATAACATCCGACTCGACAATTGCTCAATGGAGGATGCTGTGCAGATTTTAAGGCAGTGTGAAGACCTGGTCAAATTGAAGATTAGGAAGGATGAAGATAACTCTGGTACAGAAATCCTGATGCAAAATGGTGCCAGTCCACTGTAATGACATTCCCAATAGGTAGCGCAAACTAACAAAGATAAGGACTGCTGCTGCCCGGTCATCACTTTCCAATTGATTATAGTCTATTTTTGTTATTCTGCCCTTAAATGATGTCTGGAAGGTTAAAATCCTATTTGGTATGAGCATGGCTGAAGACTTCCAGCTTTCGCTTCTAGATGCTGCAAGTCTTTGCTACGACTCCTTTCATATGGGAGACTAAAAAAGTTCAGCATTCCTGTTTTCTCTTTCAGATGAGCAGGAGACAACTGGTGCCATTATCTACACAGTGGAGCTGAAGCGGTACGGTGGCCCCTTGGGAATAACCATCTCTGGGACGGAAGAACCTTTTGATCCCATTGTCATTTCGGGCTTGACTAAACGAGGTCTGGCAGAGAGGTGAGGTTTGGGGGCAGAGTGGTTGAACTGGTTTGAGAACGGGTCTTGAACCGTGCCAAATTTCCCATGCTGTCATAAACTTTTCTTTGGTGTTTTAGCCTGCTGAGAACGAAAGATGCTCTGAAGGTACCATGTGATATGAAGCAGGGTGGTTGGGACTGTGCTGTTGGGGCAATGGGAGAGGCTCAAAACAAGGCACTTCAGGAAAAGTCAGATCCAGTGAGTCAGTTGAATTCTGCAGCCAGGAATACGTATTTATCTGCCCCTCTTTCACAGAATTGCTGCCTGGTCTGGGATTTACCATGCACACCTTATGTCAGGAGCATGCCCAGCCTGCCCATGAAATCACCATAGACTCTGTCCAGGACTCCCCTGTTACTAAACTGTGGTTTATGGCCATTGCAGTGGTGTGTCCTGCTGAAACCAGAGATCTTGGGTGTCTTCTGACCTGTCCTTGCTGGTTGCTTAGTCTGTTACATGTGAGGTATCTCAGTGCAGGGCTGGTTTGCCCAAGCATCAGGCATTTATACTGCATGAACGTAGGAGCAGATTTACCTTCAGCCACTGGGGAGGACTGTGTGTGTGCCTGTGTCTGAATATATGTGCATGCGTGGGATTTAAAGGATCAGGACATTCCTGAGAGTATAAGGTGGAACTGAGTCATACACTGTATCTTAATTAATCTGTCTGTATGGTAGCTGTGACTTGTAAATGGATCATTTCAGCAGTCCTGACTCACACTTCTCTAAGGGTCTCTTTACTTTTTGCTGCCTGACAGGCAGAACAGCAGCAAAAAAACCCAGAACAAACAGGTGTAAAGTGCAAGACCTTGGGGAGGTTTGACTGCAGATCTGGCCTTTTGGTTCTGGTTGTTTCAAGCCCTCACTCTCTCTTAGCTGTGAAACAGCTCAGTGCCTCTTTCTGTGTTGGGTTCTCAGAGCTCTCAACACACTGCTGTGCCTTTGCATTGCTTCCCTTTGGTGCAGAATGCAGAATGTCTGTGTCTCCTGGGAAAGAAGAGGGATGGACTTAGTCATTAGTGATTCTTTTCTTTGAGGATTTTATATTACTGCCAGCACTGTAGGATTCAATCTTTTTCCCTATGAAATAATAGCCACAGAGTATCCGAGGCTTTTCTGCAAAGCAGTTCTGCACTGTACCTGCAGCCCAGCGTGAGAGAGGTTAAGGACAGCCAGCTCAAACACTGTCAGATGTCAGAAGACAGTCTCGTACCCTTGCTGATCTCGTTTCCCTTTGCAATGCCGTGGCTGTTCCTCCTTCAGACTCAGATACACATCGATGACTGCTCCGTGGAGAAACGTAGTGCAGGCAGGTGCTGCGGTACTACTGAATTTTGATCAGGAGTGGGCAGGCAGTGGGGAAGGAAAAGCCTTGTGAGAAGAGCGATGGAGCTGTTCAGCATGTTCACCGTGGCTGACTAGCAAACAGCAGTGCCTGTGCACAGGAGCAGCCTGGGCTCGGAGCAGCACAGGGATGTCTCTGGGTAACCTTGGCTCCCTGCAGGGAGGGTGAGGAGCGCTGGGATGAAGGCTGACTGCGGGAAAGGTGCATTGTTTTCTCCTGTGAGTAACAGAAGGGAGTGACTTGACCTTGTCAAGGGAAGAGGGGTGCTCCTCGTTTTACCCTAAATTGTCCTTTTCCTGACATCACTACCTTCCTCTGTGTCACAGGCGCCCTTAGCCAGGCTCTGAATGTGGGAGAGGTTTCTGAAGGACAGAGAGCTGGAGTGCAGGACATGTTTCGGCAGCACTGACACAGGGTGGGCCAGATCCCAGCGTCTGATAGCAGGAATGCACTGATCATTCTTGTAGAGGCACAAGTGAACGTCTGTGCTGTGGCTCGGGCTGCTGGCAATGGGGAAGGCAAAGTGTCCTCTAGGATCTGTCACATGCATGTCACAGTGGGTGACAGGCTGCCCAAGCCTTCAGATTCAGATGACTTAGATTTTATCTTGACCTTGGACATTTTTCTCCTTATAAGTGTCTGATCTTATAGAAACCTACAAAGGCAGCTCAGGCTGTTGGATTGGTGTTGAGCTGTGGCTCTCTCCCGTATTGTTCTCTGTTTCCCCTCCTTCAGTGCCTACAGGTGGCTTAAACCTGTGCTATGGGACTTGTGTACCTTCTTCTTGAGGAAAGGAGGGTGCCTGAACAATGTTGTTCGATTCTGGTCGAGGTGTAATGGTTGTCCAAGAGCAATTTTGGGCTATCACTGACACTTTAAAGTGCCTGACCAGCCTCCTTTAGTGCCTCCTACTCAAGTAGAGGGGGTGGCTGCAGGAGAGTTTGGTCCAGGAGTGTCCAGCACTAACTCATGTTGGCAGGGAGGAAAAGGGATGGTGGCCCTGCCTGTGTGCCCATGTGCCAAGTAAATTCCTAGCACATGCATGCAGCTACCTCTTCTCCAGTGCTTGCTGGGAAGTGCTTGCAGCCCCTTTTACATGTTTCCACTTACCTGTTGCTTGATCTCCTCTGAGCAAAAGGGAATGTATAGCACACACCTCCTTGGGCTGCTTTGTGTTTGAGGTGAAATAAGGACTGTTGGTAGTGATGGAGAAGCACGGGGGTCATAAGCTAAAAACTGCTTTCTCTGTCACTCCTGCTCAGCTTCTGTCTGCTTCTCCTTGCTCGGGGAGCTGAGGGAACTGGACTTTGATTTGTTTTCTCCCCCTTGAAGAAAAACAAGATCAGAACATGACCTTTCTCTTTAATTGTTTCTGTATTTTTCCCTGCTGAGGGACTTTCACAGTTACTGGAGAGCAGTCATGTTGTTCGGAGGCGGGTGATTGGGCTGATGTCTTGGGTAGGAGGTGTGTCCCCGTGCCGGGTTCAGGAATACAGCAGGAGATCCTCAAATGCTGAAGCACTGCAGTGAGTGAAGGATCGACTGCTGGATAAACTGCCAACAGTTTAGCTTGATGTTTTTTGATTATGTAGATGAAACTTGTAAGAGATATACTTCGGTTCCAGTTTGATCTGTAATTTATTTGAATGCACAAGTTTTCCCTGATGGCTCTTCCAGGCTTATTTGGGTGGGACAAGACGGACATCTAGTGGCTGATAGGACCATAATGGCACTGCTCGAATACCCCAGGAGCAGCAGAAGCAGAGCCTGAGCAGTCCTGCCCGCTGTTTGGCTGCATTTGCTGAGTTGATGTACTCACAGTGGATGTTCCACAGCAGTATGTCTACAAAAGTTTGCTAGTTTGGGGAAAGCCAAGCAGCTGTTTTGCCTGTGACAACGTATCAAATTCCAGTTCTGCAGGAGCAGCAGTTCAATTCGGAGATGTAACCTGAGAGAGGCACATTGCCATGGACAAAAAGATTTTGCAGTCCAGATTTGCATCTCCTCCTGGCTCCATCACACAGGTTCCTGGTAGCAGAACCTCATGCTCTGCAGCAGGAGGTAGTTGCTGCTCTCATGTGCTGGTGTTGGGGAGCTGCAGTGTGAGTGTGGTGAGCTTGGTCCAGCCAGTGGTGAGCCTGAGCTCCTGCCTTGGCAACCTGCTCTAGTGATGAACACATCCTACCCTGCCTGCTCTTCCTGGAGCTGCAGCAACACCAGGAGAGGTAAACTGAGTCCCTGTCTGCGAGCAGACACAAAGGGGAAGGATGGAGGAGAAGGGAGAGAGTTGCTGTGACTTGTTAGCTTGCTCCTGGCTGTTGCTGAAACCCAAGGATTTACCTATCTGAGAGCAATAGCCAATGCTAGAGTGTGGTTGTGCAATGAAGCACAACAACCTCTTCCAGAGCTGATGGAGAAAGTCACAGGAGTGTAGCTGTGTAAGGGTGAACTCTACACATGTCACAAACTGCAACTGGTTCAGCTCAAGCTTGCACCTGTAATCTGTGTGTTGAGCCATTTTGGTATTGGGTTTTTTTTCAATAGGTTTCTAGGTTTGTCTCATAGTTTCTTTCTGTCAGTGTGAACACATCCTTCAGTTCCATGTGTGATGATGGGTGGACACCACACCACACACTGGAAATGCTTGTGCTTTTAACCACATGGTTTTGAAGAGATTTGAGTGTAAACTGGTCTGCAGTTCCAGTCTCTGAGGGGCCTGGGATTTTGTGGAATTCATATGTTCCCATGTGTATTTGTATGTGTATATACACATGGAAGATGGGGAGGACCCAGATTCCTGGTGGTGATGTGTACATCTGTAGGTGTATACAGTGTACCAAGAGAAAACAAAGACATATTTGAAAGTGCTGAGAGTTAACATGCTCTTGCCTTGAGTGACAACCGAATGTCCTGTCTTGCAGAGGCAAATTACTTCTCTGGAGTTTCTGACAGTGCCTTTTCTCTCCAGGACTGGAGCCATCCACATCGGCGACCGGATATTAGCGATCAATAACGTGAGCCTCAAGGGCAAACCACTGAGCGAGGCCATTCACCTGCTGCAGATGGCGGGAGAGACGGTCACCCTGAAGATCAAGAAGCAGACAGAGAGTGAGCTGGGGAGCCTGGTTTGGGGTGGGAGGGCAAAGGCACACCCCAGCAGGGACCCCAGGCAGTGGAGTTAGCAGTGCATGTGCTGTGAAAGGTGACATGAGGCAGCGTGGTCATGGGCGTGGCCAGGCACAGAGGGAAAAGGTGTGTGTTTCTTGACCTTCTGACTCACAGATGAAAGAAAAGGATACCCAGGGGCTCTCTGTGATGCTGGGAAGAGGTGAAACAGCAGGTTTATTGATGATATTAATTTTTATTTCGGATTGACAGCTTATACTGTTGTTGCCATTCCCTGTCTGTGTGGGTGTTTCACACAGAAGTGAAGCAGAATTTGCTTTTAAAAGTAGAAGAATATGGGATTTTAAAAAAATATAACCCTCCAGAATTAGCAAAGGGACTCTGAGCTAGTGGAATCTATGAACACCCCCCCCCTTTAATTCAGCTTTTTGAAAACAATTGGCAATAAATCCTTTACGTCTCTTTCCTGGCTTGGAGTCCCAAGGTCATCTTTCAAACCAAACTTCACTTAAGAGATCCCCTTCTCATTCCCCTGCCAAGCTCCCTGTGGGTTTGAAGCTGTTCTTAGCATGGTATCAAAGAGCAGAAGCATACTTACTGGCAGGCTACTGTTTTCTGGGGATGGAGGGGTGATTGGCAAAACCAGGGACCATGAAAACTTTTCTCCCCAACTACGTAGTCATAATCAAACAGAGTCTTCTTCATCAAGTTCAGAAAGCAACAGGTGCATTCTGGCTTCATTCCTGTCTCCTTCACACCAAGTATTTTCTTTTTTTTTTGAGGGTGCCATGCTTCTGCAGTTTGTAGATTTGGTTGGACCTACCCAGCCAGTGGCCCACAGTGTTGTGGGAATTAAAAGAAATCAAATGATAAAGCTCTTCCAAGCAAGAGTGTCCCATGGGATGCCTGTCCTGCATCTGAAAAAGTGACATCACTCTTAAACATAGAACTTTTGTAGACCTCAAAGCAGTTTGGAAATGTGTGGCAATGGACCTATTTTACAAATGGTGGAAGTCCAGGCAGGGAGTGGGGACTTGGCAAACAGAGGTAGAATTGGAGAACTGATCTTCAAGAAACCTCACTCTCTTCCCTCCTAGCTAAGTGTTCTTGATCCTTAGTCTGAAATGCTCTTTTTTTCCCCCTGCTGACACTTAACATTGTCACAGCCACTCAGTGAAATAATTGACATGCAAGTGCCAGTTGGAGACTCGTTAATCATTCTGAGAATGAAGCAGGTGTAATTGAAATTTCAAGGTAATCTTGAGTAAATCGTGGTGAGCAATCTTCTGAATGCTTGGAAAACAGGGACTTTCAGGACACCGGGCTTTGTTTGGTAAAATAATCTGTTCTCATTGACAAATGCAGACTTTCATAGGGCTTTTTATCCCTCCAGTCTGAGGTATAGGATGTGGATAGCTAACAGGATATCTAATCAACAAGGACTTTAAAATATTCAGTGCAGAGAAATGCTTGTTCTGAGAAACCATTCCTAGCATAGCTTTTGCCTGAAAGGGAATTTGATACAATGATAATAAGGGCCTGTTAGTACTAAAATAATGAAAGGGAAGGTCTGAGCTTCATCATTCACATTCAGCTTCCATTTTCCAATCACTGATCAGGGGAAATTTAGCCTCAAAATACCAGGCCCAGGAATTCCGCTTTTGTCTTGAGACTGCATGGGAGACTCTGGAGAGGTGATTAGCCTTGAATTGTTACGAGGTTGTACAATCTTGGGAGGGGGCTTCAGTGGTGGTGGTTGGGACCAGGTTGCTTTGTCATTGGAATCTCATTAATACAGTTTGTGGCAAATTTTCCAGCCAGCACCTTGCCCTGGTGCTGCTCTGAGTATAAAGGAGGCCCTTTGAGACCAGAGAAGCTACAGCTTGCAAGGGCCAACACTTCTCTGGGCAGGGCTGTTTTGGAGGAAGCTTCCGAAGGCACAAGAAGATGTGCTTGTGAATTGAGATCAGGTCCCAGCTCTCTCATATGTGGTAATCCTCAAATGCCCGTGGCTGCTCCTTGTATTCCGTGTGCTAAAAACCCAGAAAGGCATTTTTTTCTTGATTCAGCTTGAGATAAGAGTAATGCATTAAATCCTTTTAGCTTCATTGCACATGCCTTTCTCAGCTACTTTTGAAGAGCTAAAGAGGTACTTTAAAGACTTACAGTACCTGGGATTGCTCCCGTGTCAGCATGAGCTTTTCCCTGAGGCTTGCTCTTCGTGCCTGCTAAAGCAGGATGTTCTGCTTTCAGAATCCTATCCCAAGAAATCGGGGAGTATAAACGAAGTGAGTGACCCAGAAGATGAACTGACAGACTCCCAGAAAACTAGCAAGCTGTCTGAGATATACTCCACCGCAATTCCTAGTGTGGACAATACTATGGAGTCCTGGGATGGCTCTGCCATTGATGCTGGGTATGGAAGCCAAGGTAAGCCAGAGTCATCTTTTCTTAGGGATCTCTGGGCTGAGGTGAAGACAGACAGAGCCTCCAAACCTGTGTGGTTTGTCTGACTCTTGTCTGTGAATGTGAGCCGAAGCCTGTGGCCTGACCACATTTTCATGGTCTCTCGCCTCCAGCAAGGAACAAAATGTATTTTAAAATGCATTCCTGTGGTGCTCTGAGTTGATGTGTCTGGTTTAGGCTTTTATTGGCACATTTCTTCTGGCTTATGTAGCATCATACTGTTCTCATAATTTTCAAAACCATTACAGCACTTTATAATTCGCATAATCCACATAATCAGAGGCAATATTCACTGATGATATGTTTTACAGAGTATTTGGTCCATAGCTCACTTTTAACTCTCCAGAGAGGCCTTGTAGGACATACTAATCCTCTTCAGGATGTTTTAAAATCCAAAGTGAGAAGCACTCACTTAACAAAATAATTAAGGTAATACTACAAGAAAGTATCTCTAACTCTCAAGTGAGTGATCAGTTGGACACATGGCTTCGAGGCCAGGTTTATTCAGCTGTAGCTTCTGGCAAACATATGGAATTGGGATGGATGATGCTCTAGTTATGGGGATAGATTTTTACATGGAGAAAAGCACTGGAAAATAGTTATTCCAGTTCAGATTTAGTGACATAAGCTAGTATTAGCCCGTATTGAAACAAACCAAAATTCTGAATTGACACTGCAAGAGGAAATTGTGGAAAGACTCCTGTCCAGAACAGAATGTGAAAACAGGGAGGGATGCTGCAGGATGCTGCTGCAAAGCACCTTCCCTGTGCTGAGTGAGGTACGTGCTGTGGTCGCTGCACTCTGGCTTAGAGAAGTTCAAAGGATGGCACTGCCCAGGTGTCTCGCAATTTCTGTGTCTTCCTTCAGCCTCCATTGGTCTGAAGTCTTAATTTGGGACTGGAGGCTTCATTAAGGAGGAATCCCCTGGCCTTCATAATGCTGCAATCTTTCTCCATCTAATTGAATGTTAACACAAGTTGGACACTGGAAAGTGATTGCTTTTCTGGTAAATTGAGAACAGATAATTGAGCACAGACCCCTGGGGTGTGGGGCTGATGCCAAGTTGCCCAACATCCACACACTGCAGCTTTGCTTCAGGGGCTCTCTTGTCTTCCCTGGTAACTGCATTGGGCTGCATGGTGCTGTGCTGGTGCTGGCTGGGAAGAGGGATGCTGGAAGGCAGGGAGAAGGGCATGCAGGGTTGTCCATGGGATGGGCAGGGAAGGCACGATGCAGAGAAACCTGGGATGTGCAGAGCCTGGAGATTAGGGTTCACACCCCAAATGGAGAATTACAGATCAGGCTCTGCAGCCCTGTAGGTTTTAGGTTCATCCATAGCATTAGGAAACAGCTCAAGGAAGGATTTGGGTGGGGGAGTTGTGCTGGGCCTGGTGGGAACATGCCACCAGGTGGCTCTGAATCCCAAGGATCCAGCTCTTCTCCCTAGAAGGAGGAGGTGAATCTACAATGGCACTAAGTGACCATTCTGCACCCAAACCCTGCACCCAGCCCAAACCTGCTGCCCACTCTCTGCAAGGACCTGCATCCAGGGCCCTTGTCCTGCTCTGGCAGGCAGAGTGCTCCTGACTGCTGTGAGATGTTGGAAAGCAATTTTCCTGGGGCTCTTTCCAGAGCAGTCTAACCTTTAAAAACACACAGAGGAAACACTCAGCTACGTGAAATAACAGGCCTTGGCATTTTCAAAGAAAGTGTTGGCATTGTCTTTGGGTATTTCCAGGGCTCTTAGCTGTTTAGGAGGTCAAATCTCCCTTAATTATGTGTTTCTCCATTACTTCTTCCTGTTCACTTGGCACAGCGTGTGATGGGAGCGCACGGTGTTTCTTGGAAAGGCTGTGAGGATTTCTCTGAAACACTGAATGGGCAGCAGGAGGTGAACAGGAGACTTGGGAGATTCATTTCCACTGCAAATGGCACTGACACTGCTGAGGAATGGTCTGTTTTGAAAGTTTTCTGTTCAGGAAGCTCCTCACAAGACCTGGGGATCTTGTGACTTGGTAGTGATGGATTTACATCTCTGGAGTAAAACACTGCAGTATGGAAAAGTCCATGGGGGCAAACATAGCAAAACTTGCCTGATTTCATCCTAATGGTCCATATTGATCTCCTATCAAATGTGATACACATGAGCCAGCAGAGATTTTCACCCTATTCCTTGCCTTTCACACACATGTCCCCAAAGCGGCTTCCTGTACCTACACCAGCTGATCCCAAAGGCATGGAAGGGCTGAGGGAACTGGCTGGCAGCTCTCAGGATCAGAGCTGACTCTTCCCCATTACCACTGCTGAGCACACTGGACCCGTGACCACCACCAGGTACCCTCAGCACCATTACACTTGTTAAGGGAGACTCTTGCTTCTGGCTGCTCTGGATGGAGTTTCTTTGCTGCTGCCCTTTTCTATTCTGTTACCTTTCTTATGCTGTCCATTAGGTCCCAAACACAGTTGAGAATATAAATGAAGACTTTTTTTTCCTAATAGAATTCAGGCCTCCAAATCCTTCAAAAAGGATGGGATTGGGCCTGCTGAAGGAAGCTTGGCAGGATCTTCTCTTTGACCCTTGAAGGATTTATTATATTTAAAAGTGGCTGATTCAACATCATAATTTCTACTGGGTTCAATGTAGAAAAAAGAGTCGTTAGCCAAGGCTGGATCTTACTGGGGACAGGATCTGCATCTGTGGGTATGTGTACTCCCAGGTCTGTGGATCCCGAACTCACACCATAAAACTATTGAGAAGCAAGGGAGCAAAGGAGAAATGGGGCACCCCATGTCAAGATCCTGAGAATCTGCTTTGGTTAAAGCCAGAAGAGATGGGAAGAAGAACCACTTTTGGATGACTGAGATGAAAGCAGTATGCAATCCATGTGGCCTCAGGTTTGGGACCTAGGGAAGGAGCCTCTCCTGGCTCAGCGTGACTTACTCCATCTGGGGTTTCTGATCAGGTGTTACCCTTTCTCTTTCTCCACTCCCTCTTGCCTTCCCTAGGTACGTACATACCTCAGGCTGCGGGCATAGCCCTCCATCCACACGAATGGAGACACAGCAGGCAAAAGAGCAGCACCCCTCCAGGGGACCCCAGAAAAAACTACCCCTACATGGATGGAAGCTTCAGTGAAGATGACTGGGACAAGCCCAGCAGGTACGGAGGGGTGGGAGGAGGTAGGGAGGTGTGTTTGGAAATGTGGGTGTCACTGCACAGGGAAAAGAGGGCATGGGAATGTGATGGAGCAGCCAGGGGTGTCCCAGTGTTGGCACTGGGCAACCATGGGGAAGGATGCTTGGGTGGTGAACTTGCTCTGTTGAGCCACCTCAGGTTACCTGGAGTGTAGCTCTGTGGCACCTCTGCCATGTCCAGGTGTACATTTGTGTCTGGAATTAGGTGGTCTCAGCTGCATGGACCACAGGTTCCTACCATGTCTCTTACTCCTGCCATGTCAAGGCTGCAGTATTTTCATAGTTTAGGTGTAATAAATAGCTATGGTCAGGGCTGTCCCTGCATGTGCTGGCCACACTGTTTTGAGTGAGGATGTAGCTTTGCAACAGCTCAATGCTACAAAGCAAAAAAGGCCAACCAAAGTACTCAGAGGACCAGTGTGAGGTTGCATGTCCAAGTTAAAATCTACCAAAGCAGTGGCTGGATTCTCTCTCCATCACACTTTGGCCCTTCCAACACCACAAACAAATCTACGCTGAATGAACATGGTCGAGTTAATCTCCCAGCTCAGCCAGGTGGGGAAAACCCTGTAACATCTCCTGAGGCCAGTGAGGAGGCTGCAGCTGCCCCTTACTTTAGGTGAAAATCCTGATGGATCTGCCTTGGCCAGAGGCTGTCCCTTGCTGAGCCATACACAGTGGAAAAGCCCCACTGCTTCAAAACTACCCCTCCCCTTGACATCCTCCAGAGTCCCCATAGTTGTGTGTGTTGTGTTGTTACTGTCGGTTCTTTTTTTCTTTCTTATTTTTTTCCTTGACTTTTGTTTGTCCAAACGAAACCCTTAGAACATCTCATGGCCATTTCCACCTATTTAAAGATGATCAAACTGGCAGGAAGGCTGGCAGCGGCGGAGACTTTGTTCTTGTTTTGCCTCTCAGCAAGAGCCAGCTCGCACAGGTCATTGATCCCTCGTGGCCCCCCCAGCGAGGCCGCCGACAGCTGAAGTTTGCAAATCTGAGCGCTCGAAGCCCCCGTGTCCCTAATGAGGACTCCGTGCCCTCATGTCAAAGTGCAAGTGAAATGGTTCATGCCACTGAGCCTGTTTTATTAGGGAGAAAAACAAAATGTCTCTAACCCTGACTGCCTCTAGCCTGGAAAAACCTGCTGACCCAGTGGTGTGGGAGCCGGTTCTGATTCATCCGTGTCCTGGATCTGTTTGTATATTGCTGCTCTGAGAGGCAAGAAATGGGTAATTAGAAGAGACGTTTGCCTCTTTGGGAACCTGAGAGCAGAGGAAGGAAATGAGTAAGGGGAAAGAATCAAAAATTCCTTTTGGGGGGAAATTTCAGTTTGTTTTTATAAAGTCTTGCTGGGTGTTTATTTGACCTTTCTGCCTAGTGTAAAGGCTACTGTCCTTTAAAAGCTGATGAAAGGTAGGGGGTGAATTTAAAATGCAATAAGCCATGTCAGATACTGCTGTCTCCAGGAAGACCACCCACAAGGACCAAAAGTGTGTGTGTGTGAGTTTCTGCCTGCTACAGATTCCCATTTAAACCAGTGGATGAAAAGGCAAAGCATGTGCTAAAGACTTTGCAGTTTTTAGAGATCTGGAAAAAGCTCTGTTAATAGCCCAAGGGGTCATTATATATTTAATGAAGGACAACCTCTCTGTGACTTGTACCCAAGTAAAATGTTTTGACTTTGCTAAGTGACTGTGGTGGATGAGCATCCCTTCCCATCTGCAGAGCTGAATAAGCCATGCAAGATGCTGCCAGATGTTGCAGAGGTGGAGCCTTGTCCATGCAGCTCCTTATAGGAAGATGCATTAGGGCTGCTCTGATGTCACTGTACCTTTGGGGCCTCTCCCCATGACACATTAGTGGGTTTATCATGACCTGGATTTAACACCACAGTTTCCTTCAAGAGGCTTCTGTTAAACTGAGCACTGCTGGTGTGAATTTTGCAGTCTGGTGTTCAGTAAGCAGTGTCCAGCATCACCTACTATTCTAGCTTGTTCAGAGGACTTCAGCATGTTTAATTGCTGTTTGATTTAGAGGTCTGAGAATTGACCCTGGCCTGTGGTCAGAGATAAGAGATGCTGAAACTGCCAAAGGGGAAAATTGCAGAACACCCAGCACACGGTGTTCACATTAATGTGTGTTTGTACCAGCCTGAGAGAGGTTCTCTCTAACCTTACTCTCTGTTGTAGACAGAACTGGTGGCAAACTTTACAGAGCTTTAAGTGCCAAGACTGCTATACAGCAAAAAAAACAGACCTCCTGAAAGTACCAGCTCAGTTCTCTGGTCATCCCAAAGCAAATGAAACTGGGTTTGTATGGGTTATACATGACACTGTTGATACTGCTGGCTGTAGTGTGCGTTCGCTTGTTCAGCCCAGGGCAGTCATTTTTATATACATCTTTGCATTATTTACTCTCATAGAGACCTAATGTATTTATCATTTTCTCACCATGTCTGTTACCCTCTGTGTTTTTCTCTCTCTTCTCAGGTGTTCTGTGTCTCAGATCTGAGCTCTATCCCATCAGCCTTTGTACTAACAGTCTCTGAGGCTCCTGGTTTACCCATAATGCATCCTTTTTTCTTTCACTTCTCTATTTCACCAAAACGTCTTCCTAAACCTACAATCTTCCTACAGGCACTTTTTAATTTACCCTTTGAACTCTGACATTACTACACCAACTTAATTCTTCCTTTGAAGGACACTTGCCCCGTTAGTAAATGCATGGAGGTCTCGTATGCGGA